GCACAGGATGTGAAAACCCCAAGGACCTCAGCCCAACCTTTAATTTCTGGTGCCTTCAAAGCTGGTAGAGATTAAATGGGAACATATGAAAACCTACAGCTTTCAAATGAGGAACTGAGGCCCAGGGAGAGGAAGTAACTTGCCGGCGATCATATCACTAGTAAGTGTCAGTAACCTCCCCAAAGCAGGCCGCGTCTCAGTCTGCTGCAGCCACTACACTAGTTCCCTGACCTGGCCACTAGTCTGATTTGTGCTACACCTCGAACTTCAGCTCTTTCGGGCCGCAGTGGGCTAACCAAGCCGGGGCAGAAGGAGTACAGGAGGAACTGGAATGATCCAGGGTAGATCAGTCTCTGGAAGGCTTAGGTCTAGGCTGAGAAGCTAGTTGTCAAATAAGAAGTGAATTCCAGGTACCACTGCCAGACTTACCCGGAAGGGACTGCGAGGGCACTGAGCGCGGAGATAGGAGACCTAGGTTGTTTTTCAATTCTGCTCTGGTATGAGCTTGCTCACATTTCTTCCTCCCTCTGAAGTCCCTCTCCGCTCTGATTGTCTACTAATCCTCACCAGGCAGGATCTGTGGTCCTTGTGGCCTGGGGAGGTGGGCCAGTGAGTCACTAATGACCTAATTAGGTCACAATAGCTCAGACCCCTTCCAGGTCATGGTGGCCATATTTTGTTTTGCTCTGTTCCGTTTTTTGCAATAATCATCTCTCTTCTTCAGCCCACCACCCCGCAACCACTCCTATTAGCTGGTTTTCCTTTTCAGTGATTAAACTTCTCCTGGCCTGTAGTCATGTTCCACCATGGGGAGTAGGATGTTTGGGCCACCGTGGCCTGGAAGGGGTCGTGCGTCCTTACTCATACTGTGTGAGGGCTCAGGGGAAAGGCCAGAACTGATCCCAGGCTGACAGAAACAACTAGGCTGGCCCTGTGTCCCCTCACTCCTACGCAGATGTAAGTCTTGGTTCCTTAGGCCACTCCAGGGGTAGGGAAACTCTGATATCTGGCCAGATATTTCTAGAATTCCAACTCCTATACCCTGACCTTTCTGCCCCATTTGGAGGACTCCCTGGGGACTCATGTGCCTCAGTTACTGGCATTGTCGTCACTGTGGCCCCAGCCCTGCGCTCCCCTCCCAGGGCTGCCGTTGCTATGGTGATGGCTGTAGGCTTTGCAGCCACTCTCCTTGAGGCTGTCACTTCATATACAGTGATTAAAGCACTTTCAGCCAACCTTGACTGGTGTAATCTCTCAGGCAAGGTCCCCAAAGTGTAGCCTTGATGCTATCTCTACCATTCCAATGAAAAACTTGGCTTAAGTTCTGGCTTGAGGACCAAGCCAGAGGGTCTTGAAGGACACCACCTTTCAGCATCAAGCACTTGCACCTGGAGCTGGGCCCTCAGAGGCAGACTTGGCTTCCCTTATATCTCAATGACCTGCCCTGTGAGTTCCGCCCCGAGATCTCTTAAAGAACACCTAGGGGTTTCTCACACAAATAGAAGCTCTGATATCCCAGAATCCTCAAGTGACATCAACATGTATTATGAATCATTTAAAATCTTCAAAGAAAGACAACTTGTTTACCTAACCTAACTGCGTTAGATCAAATGGCAATTATCTGCCTTGAAACGCCTACTGGTTATAGTCTATGTCATTCTTTCTTCCCCTGTCAGGGAAAGCTGTTTGAACTTCAAGTCATTAGCAACGGGTACCACTGAATGTCCTTGCTTTTATATTTGTGCTTTCTTATCACTCATATGCTAGTTGTACTTCACGATTTTCTACCAAGAGACAAAAAGCCTGAAGAAATTACATGAACTACAAGGAGCTAAGGTTCTTGGTCAGTGCACCAAAGACTTTTACCCTCTTTATGCTTCCTCTGCTTTCTCTTCCTCTTGGGCAGTTGGGATAGAGGAGAAAAGAAGAAAAGATAATGCAGCAGAGATCAAATAAAATGGGAATACAAGAAAACCATTAGATAACCTGGATCCTCGCTTGAATTCCTGGTGGCTTTAAGTCTGGTATTGATCAAACGGAGATACATAAAAACATGGAGTGCTAAGTCTTTCTTCCAGCTTTGGGGAAAGCTTTGAACAATGAAGTTGTCCTTCTGTTCAACTACAGGCCTTATATCGGACCTCTAATAAAAATAATGGGCTCAGTACTTTACTAAGCTGTAAAAAATTTCACCCTACAAAATTATTGTAAATTCAATAAAACAAGTAATTTATGTGAACCAACTATTTTGCCCGGCACCATGAAAGCAAAAAAGGAGAATGTCTATCTTTAGGGGCTACTGGAAGGCATGACTCTGACCCTTCCCTTGTCATAATTTACTGCCTGGTCTTTCAGAATTTATTCCATATCCTAGGCCTCATTCTCTTCAAATGCAAAATGAAGACACTAATACCTTCTCTGTCTACTTCACAGGGAAGTAGAAAGAAAATAGTAGAAAAAGAAACAGCAAACAGAAATGTGATAACAAAGTGTTTGGTATCTATAAAGATGCTGCCTTATTTCTTTCTTTCCAAGCAGCTTCCAGATGCTTTAATTCCCACTATTCCAGGCAAGTAATTCTGAGTGAGTCTAAGCCATTTCTCTTGGATTAGACTCAAGTGTTGTTGGGGTTTTATGCTAGAAAGCTGCAGAAGAGCATTTCTGTGAGTGTGTAATATATAGAATATGGGGGATTTGTTGAGACATCAGGAGTAGAAACCTGGTGGAGAATTCTCATCCAACAAGGCAGAGAAAGGACAGACAGGAGAATGTTAAATTCAAGTAATGAACATTCATGAACAGCAACTCACTGTCACATACTATCCTAATGCCCGGGGATTCAAAGCATGTTGGCGGGGGGAGGGGGTCCCAATCCAGTGATTCGCTAGGAAGACTCAGAGGACATAACATGTAGTTGAAGCTATGATTAATTACAGAGAAGGAATGAGAAGCAAAATTAGCAAAGGGAAAAGGCTCATGGGGCAAAATCTAGAGGGAAACAGGTGTAAGCTTGCAAGAGTCTGCTCTCAGTGGCATTACACAGGATGCACTTAATTCCTCCAGCCGTGAGTTGTGACAACATGCTGAAGCATTGACCACCAGGGAGGCTCATTTTAGAGACTCATTGCCCGAGGCTTTTTGTTGGGGGCTGGTCATATTGACATTCTCTGCCAAACTCATGCCAAAACTCTAGACTCTCAGAGAGAAAGCAGATGTTCAGCATAAACCATGTTGTTTGTACAGTTTAGACACAGTGAGCCATGCCATTCTTATCAGGGAGTACTGGGAACCTTCTTGAAATCCAAGTTCCCAGACTCCAACCAAGGTCTAACTTTGCAAGCAGGCTTTTCGAGGGATAGCATTCTGGAGCCTGTTATGTTAACTCTTTTGTGCACAGAGAGGTTTAAATCAGTGATCACAATACAGATGGATAAATACAATGATTAATTCATTTGGCCAAAGTCACTGAGACTTTGAAGGGCCGGACAGGGATGAGATAAATTAGATATGGTTCCTGTGCTTTGTCAAACTCAACTCAGCACCTCAACAACTCCCTGCCCACCCACTGACAAAGTGTGTTGCTTATAAAAAGCTCTATGGCTGTGCTCCAAATTCCTGCTGCTATCCTCCCCATCCAGAACCCACTGCACATCCCAGGGGCTTTGTTTTCTGCCTGCCATAACTTCTTTCTGCTTAGCCCCTTGGGTAGATGTTTGGGGCTACTTCTCTGTTTGACTTGACTAGATTCTGGTGTGGCCCTGGATGCCTTCCAGCCAGTTCTGCCCCATCCCTGCCCCCACCAAGATCTCCAACACTCCATATTTCATCTGGCCTCCTTGGCCCCTTGTCCACTAGAGGAACCACTCCATTCATGTTTGAAGCCCTAGGTCCTGGGGGCAATCCCTATCCCTCAGTCAATGATTTAAAAGTCATTCCATTTCTACTCACAGACTTTTTTGGTTAATTTTTACCCCACTGCCAGCTGCCAAGGAGATGCCCAGGACCATGAAGTACAGATTTCTCAGCCTTTCCTACTGGAATCCTCTTATGAAGGAGCTCCACATGCTGTCTCTGACCGCAACCAGGGCCTTTAGCATCTCTGCAGCTAGAGTTACCCCTGTCCTTGCCCCTACTAGAGGGATTTACCCTCAAACCCTACCTTCTTTCCTCTTTTAGGGGAGTGAGGGGTTTATCAGAAGCACCGGGTTCCAGGTCTGCTGCAGATTGGGGGTCACATAGGTTGAATGCAGGTCACATAGTTGTTTTCTTGGTCTCAAAGCGAACATGTTCGGTGACCCAGCCAAGGAGTCAAAAACAGTCAGCTTTCTCCCTGATGTCAAGCAGAGCCCCAAGCAATTAGTTCACCCAGAGATGCCTGGGAACTCCCAGGTGATAGTTATCAGTTCAGCCCCAATTTCCCCAGGCTGATGGATCTCCTCCCCCAAAGGCACAGAGGTAGGAAAGAGCCCTTGGGCAAGTTCAGGAAATGCTCATAGTGACTCAAATGACAAGGAAAAGCCACATAGAGATGAAGTTGGTGAGACGGTTAAGAGCTGGTCCAAGAAAGCTGTGAACACCATCATAGGGGCACTTGATCAAACTCGTGTTTCAGAAAGATCCCAGAAGCTGGAGGGAGACAAGATAGACAGTGAATCTGGAGGCTAGGAGACAAAGATAAGAAGCTTTTATAATAATCTTACAAGAAATGGCAAGGCCTCAACTGGACCTGAGGTGGCGGATGTAGAGACGAGGGGACAGACGTGAGGGATATTTAGAAAGCCAGACAATTAGCAGCTGGGAATGGGGGTGGGAGAATAGAAGCAGGGGGATCGGCATCTTTGGCAGTTACCCTCATTGAAAGAAGGAATCCAAGGGAGTTAATGTTGAATCCAAATAGCACCAGGCCATACAGAGCCCCCCACATTCACCCTGTCCTCTATTTCTGACATATTCTGACTGGGTCTTTGTTTGGTTTTGGATTTTCTTCTGAAGGTCCAGAAATGCCTTTGGCATGTTTGACAGACTTTCAGGCTTTTGCCCGGGAGCGTCTGCCCAAGTCAACTTGGGATTTTATTGAAGGCGGAGCAGATGACAGCTTCACGCGGGATGACAACATCGCAGCCTTTAAAAGGTCTGGTCTTCTGTATCCTTTCTATTGTTAAGTTCATGTGCACCAGTTGAGAGGTCCTTGGAGCATAGCAGCCCTGCTTTTTGCCTGCAGAGGACACAAAGTAGTCAAGATATATTCATTTTGGGCTTTGCCAGAGGCTAATTTTTTTTTTTTTTTTTTGGTGGGGAGCGGGCAGGTGGTTGGGAAGAGGATGGATGGAGAGAAAACTTATCTTAGTGGCTCTGCAGAACTAGCGTGAGTCACCCTCCCTCTATATCCCAGCAACTCTGCCACCTGACAAGATAGGACAAGAGTCCAGGGTCCCCAGTTACCTGGGCCCGGAGGAGAAGCTGGTTGGGTAAGCCTAAATCTCCTGAGTTCCTAAACTTCTGGCTGGAAGGAGAGACTGTACATCGAGAAATATGTCCATGGGACATATGGAGACCCAAAGAGTCTTAGGGGTGGAAGGAGGTTGATTTCAAGGGAAAAGAACTGGGCTGGAACAGCAGCAGGTAGAACACGGGGCAGCAACAAGCCCACAGGCCACATTGGGCCCACCACCTAATTTTGGATGGTCCACAAGCTAAGAGTTTTTGTTTCCCATCTTTAAATGGTTGAAAAAAATCGAAAGAAGAATGATAATTTGTGACATGTAAAAATTATATGAAATTCAAATTTCGGTGTTTATAAAGTTTTATTAGAACCAACCATTTAAATTACATTTGTCATCGACGTATTGGCTACAGCTGCTTTTGCATCACAACAGCAGAGCTGAATAACTGTGACAGATGCATGGTCCACAAAACCCAAAATACTTACTATCTGGCCCTTTACAGAAAAAGTTTGCTGACCCCTGTAGTAGAGAGGTAAGGAGAAAACTGAAAAATGGGATACAAGGTGAACACGATGTTCTGTATTTTCATACTTGTTTAGTACTACCTTTAGGCCCCTTCCTTGCTTTATCTCATTTTGCTTCCGTGAGACAATGATGAAATTTGGATTACTACTTCCATTTCACGAAGTAACAAAAGTTTGTACAACCAGTATTTCTAGCAAACCTTTCTACGTTTGTGTATGATATTTTGTGAAAAACAAGCATTTTTGGACCCTGAGGCTAAGTATCTATTGGACTTAAAAGTGTGCTTTATATATTTATGATTTATGAATTTCCCCGCCTTCTTCTAAAGAAGTAGTCAAGTCAAATCTTCAAATGAATTAGCCTCTAGCAAAAAACAAAAACAAACAAAACAAAACAAAACCTCCGCCATGATCGTGCTCTGGGATTTGTCCTCCTTCGGTGACCTTTTCTTACTTTATAGAGGCTTGTTTGTAACCCATGAGGGAAGATCCTCGAACTCCTTCCTGCTTATTCTTTTCCTTTATAATTCTTGCTAGGTATGGTAAATCAACCAAAGCATCCAAGTGCTGAGAGTCTGCTCAGACAGACAAAACTCAAAGACACAGACCTGTGCCAGAGCAAGGTCAGAGGCAATATGAACCATAGGTGCACTGGGGGTTTAGAGAAAGTGGGGTTAAGGTGGGCCAGGGTGTTGGGAAAGGCTTTCTGAAGGAAAGTTGGTCTATGTAGCCTAATGAGCCCACTGAGCCCCCACCCCCAGAGGTTTCTTGGGTCCCAGTCTGGTGTATTCCTGCATGGGAATCTGGAGGCCCGACACCAGGCAGCACCTGCATATAACCCCACCAACAGAAAACTCTTTGTTGCTGAGCACAGAATCCGCCTCCGTCCCCGGTACCTGAAAAATGTGGTAAACGTGGACACCCGGACCACAATCCAAGGGGAGGAAATCACTGCCCCCATTTGCATCTCACCCACGGGTTTCCACTGCCTTGTCTGGCCGGATGGAGAAATGAGCACAGCCAGAGGTATGAACCAACCGCACCTTGAGTCTCCCTTCCCTGGGGGCCCCGAAGCATGCAAGTGTCCTTCAGAGCAGTAGCAGGATTTCTCTTAGAAGGAGTTCAGGGACAGCAATCTGGCCACAATTAAGGAGTGTGTGGGAAAAAGGATGCTTAACGCTATGTTTGTATAGCATTTCACCTAAGAGTGAGAAAACATCCATTTCCATAACATTGGGTGGTTAGAGAGGGGGCTAAGGATAAGTGGATGTGGAAATCGAGCAAGCCATCCTTCAAAGGAGGTGTGGTACAGGCCACCGTAGTCTGTGGGGAAAGGGGTTCTCAGTGTGACTTCAAAGACAGGGCTCTCTTTGACCTCTCGTGGGTCAGGGCTGGAGCTGAATGGTCTCTGGATTTCGGATGAGGAGGGATTCATGGCATGATGTCCTAACAAAGGCCCTGACAGGTGTTCCTGCCCCAATGTTGTGCTTCCCTTCTCATTGACTGATTTCATCATCTTATATGACAAAAAGGCTTTTATTGGGTGTGTCTTCTTCTTAGGAACCCCTTATTCTCTTCTCTCATCCCTCTCTGCCAAAGAGAGAGAGAAAGAGAGAGAAGAGAAGGAAGAAGGGAGGTGAGAGGCTAAAAATAGTCTTATGACTCCCTTTATAATCTTTACTATAGGCCAAATCTAGGAAATAATTTATTTGCAGGTTTCCCGGGGCCTCTCTGGGATCTTTTCCTTTGACTCTGTGATAGAGGAAGTAACGAATCCAAGGATTCTAGAGTCGCAAATGACATCTGTCTGGTTAGGAACCCAGTCTGGTCAGGCTGAAATACGAATGTCCCACAGGACAATGACTACTTTCCCAAAAGTTCATGCTTGAACGTGTGGTGTTGTTGTTAGAGTGGGGCAAAAGAATGGGGTATCTCCTGTTGACATTAGGGATTGAAAATATTAAACCTTTTTTATAAAGTTATTTATTTATTTATTTACTCACTCATCTATTTTGAGGGGAAGAGAGGGACAGAGAGAAGGAAAGAGAATCCCAAGCAGGCTTCGAGTCGTTAGCACAAAGTCCAACGTGGGGCTCGAACTCACCAACCGTGAGATCGTGACCTGAGCTGAAATCAAGAGTTGGCCGCTGAACCGACTTGAGCCACCCAGGTGCCCCAAAATATTAAATCTTGATTAGGCCAGATTCTCTGCCCTTGGGCTGCTGAATGGTAGTGACATTAACCTGCTGGAGAATCCTACTGAAAACAATGATTAAAGTAGGAAATGAGAAATATGCCGCAGTGTCAACATCACTGTCACCACCACCCTCGCCAACCTCGTTATCACTACCATATGTACAGCACATCACTTAGTAATTTTAAAAATGCTTCCATGTCTAGTATCTTGTTTAATATCCCAACAACTCTGTAGGAGAGGTAGTAGTAGCCCCCCCACCCCCATTTTACAGACGAAGAAAATGAGACCCAAGGCCACACAACTAAGGAGGGGAGGAGTCAACATTTTTCTAACTCAGATAGCATGCTTTTCCCAGGACAAAGCTCAGCCTTCTCCACTGGAATTACATTTCCTCACCCTTGGTTCCCTTCCGTTTCCTTAACAAGTTCACGAGCAGCCTGTTCTCCCATCTGAAAGCTGTAGCAGGTCCAACATGGTTCTGGGGACTAAGTGACACCTCCAACTGGAAATACCGACCATGGACAACAGGGTTTGGAAGACAGGTTATACAGCAGGGGATCCAGACAGGATTGGGCCTCCCAGCCTGATCTAAGGCCCCCTCTCCCTCCTGCCCTAGCAGGAAGCAGAATGAAGTCAAGCTTTACCTTCACTGTCAGGGCAAGCTGGTCAGAGCGGCACAGACTCGGAGGGCTTCTCAGCCCCTTCCAGAATCCTGCACTCCCACCTGAGCTGTACTGTTTGCTTTGCAGCGGCCCAAGCAGCCGGGGTCTGCTACATCACCAGCACATTTGCCACCTGTGCCCTGGAGGACATTGCTGCCACTGCCCCCAGGGGCCTCCGGTGGTTCCAACTCTACGTGCATCCAGACCGGCAGCTCAGCAAACAGCTGGTCCAGAGGGTGGAATCCCTGGGTTTCAAAGCTCTGGTCGTCACTGTGGATGTGCCCAAACTGGGCAACAGGCGACATGACATCCGAAACCAACTGGACTTAAAGCTGAACTTACTGCCCAAAGACCTTCGCTCGCCTAAGGAGGTAGGAAAGATACCAGATCCGACGGGCAGGCATTACAGGAGGCAGATTTCCTCTTCTCCTTCCTCCCTTCTCTCTTTCCACGAAAGTGCATGGAATGCCTGCTCTTGCCAGACGCTGCAGATGCCACGTTTCCTGCTGTCCAGGGCTTCCAGGAGAACAGAACGTAACACACAATGTCCTCACTGCTGGCGCTATCCACTTGTCACCAGAAAGAAGTGTTCAGGCCAGGGCTGGGCGCTAAGAAATAGGAAAGCATCGGAAAGGATTTCTTCATGGCATAGGAGAGTAAATTAAATAAGTTCTTCCTACATTTTCTACTTCATGGGACACTTAGAAAATGATAATTTGGGGGACGCCTGGGTGGCTCAGTTAGTTGAGTGTCTGATTTTGGCTCAGGTCATGATCTCGGGGTCCATGAGTTGGAGCCCCGAATAGGACTCTGTGCCAACAGCTCAGAGCCTGGAGCCTGGGGCCTGCTTCGGATTCTGTGTCTCTCTCTCTCTCTCGCTCTCTGTCCCTCTCCCTCTCACACTCCGTCTCTCTCTCTCTCTCTCTCAAAAATAAATAATCATTAACAATTAAAAAAAAGAAAATGATAATTTTGGATGACACATTTAAGTTAACTAACCCCCTGAAGAGGCTGCTCGTAGACAGGGTGACTGGCCCATGGAGTGTAGTCAGCCCAGGCCCCAGCCTGCTGCCTTAGGAACTGAGGGTCAGAATCTCTCTACACCTGGAACTCATTCCTGGAGCTGCAAAAGCACACTTGTTTGGAATCTCTGAAATAGGTGACTGCAAAGGCCACTTCCCCATTAAAACCCTACAGTCAGGGGGACCTGGGTGGCTCAGTCAATTAAGCATCCGATTTTTGGTTTCAACTCAGATCGTGACCTCATGGTTCGTGGGTTCAACCCCCACGTTTGGCTGTGTACTGACAGTGTGGAGCCTGCTTGGGATTCTCTCTCTCTCTCTTTCTCAAGAATAAACATTTTTTAAAAAATCCTAGTCAGATGCAACGGAGTGCCCCAGAGACAGAAAATCATGGGAACATTGGAATGCCTTGGCTGCATCAGCAATAGTGATACCGGGCTTTTCAGCTAGTGAATGGCTGTGATACAGAGCCAAGTGAGTTAACAGTTCTACTCATTCACCACAAATTAGCCTTGGATTTTCTGGAATCCTTATATCAGATCCCAGAGACACATTGGGATTGATGGATATTTTATTCACATGGTAAGCCAAGGTTAAATATGAGGTAGTATCTGACTTAGGATTATTGAAGTATTTCTTAGCGCTTATAACCTTGTGCCTATCTCAAACATAACACGTTACACAGTCCTAGACGTGCCTTTGCTTATCCACCTCATTACTGTATTCTAAGTTCTTTTAAAGTAGGGATTATGTCTTATTTGCCTTTGTATCTGCAGATTCCGGCATAGTTATTGATCAGGGACACAATTAAGGGTTAATGAATAAGCAGTTGAAATAGCAGTTCTTTTGCACAAAGTTTGTTAGGAAAAGGAGCCGGCAGTGTTGTTGATTCTGTGGCTCCTCTTTTAAGGCTAATGAAAGGTGGCTATCTGTCTCATTTTGGAATGGATCAAATAATCTTAAAGGAGCTCAGGTCTAAGTTCTCTTTTCTTGGGGCGCTTGGGTGGCTCAGTCGGTTGAGCGTCCGACTTCGGCTCAGGTCATGATCTCATGGTTCGTGAGGTTGAGCCCCGCGTCAGGCTCTGTGCTGACAGCTCAGAGCCTGGAGCCTGCTTAGGATTCTGTGTCTCCCTCTTTCTGCCCCTCCCCCATGCTCGCTCGCTCTCTCTCCCTTTCTCTCTCTCTCAAAAAAAAAAAAATTAAAAAAACCAAAGCTCTCATTTCTTCCCCACAGAGAACTTCAATGCCTTATTTCCAGATGTCCCCCATTGACTCATCCATCTGCTGGAATGACCTCTCCTGGCTTCAGAGCATAACTCGATTGCCCATTATCCTTAAAGGGATCTTGACAAAAGAGGACGCAGAGTTAGCCGTGAAGCACAACGTCCATGGCATCATTGTTTCCAACCATGGTGGGAGGCAGCTAGATGACGTTCTTGCTTCTGTAAGTAGGGTAACTTCAGAGGCGTGTGTGTGTGTGTGTGTGTGTATGTGTGTGTGTGTGTGCATGCGTGCCCACAGGAAGGTACCCTGTGGAGTTTGGCCTACGCTCTCTCGTCTTCCTTACTAGGTATCCGCATATACCTGTGAATTGCAAGGACTTTTCATCATTAACAGCCTACAGTGTACCAGGTTCTTTTTCCAAACTTCACATACGACATCTCTAAATCTCACAATGGTCCTACAAGAATAGGATCATTATCACTCTTTTACAGATGGGGATCCTGCAGCTTAAGGATGTTGAGTAACTTATCCAAGATCACACAGTTAATTAGTGGTTAAATGTCAATAGGAGAGACGTTCCAAAGGCGCTGAGGTTTCCTACCTTCTGGAAGAAGTGTTCAGTCAAAGACCGCCTGTGTGCATGGAGTATAAGGACATATTTTCTCATGTCACACATCCTGGGAAGGAACACTGCCTCACTTAAACTAATAAATAACCATCTTTCACAGTAAAACTAAAAAATGCCATACGAACCCTCTTCTAAAAATCTGTGACAGTCTGTAATTCCCCCCCATCTTTTGAATGTACGCCCATTACGGAGGAAAAGGAGGCAGGCAGAGAAAGTATCTTTAAATGGGAATGAATTGTTGATTTACTTTCATGGACATATATCACTTATATTTTTCAAGAGATTCTTCTATTCCTACTTGATTTATTTTAAGAAAGGGAAGTGGGTTTTTTTCTCTCTTTCAGGCCTTTTTATTATGTAAATAAAACATGTTCACTGCAGCTAAATTATAAAATATACATATGCAAAAAGAAGAAGATAAAAACCACCCCTAATTTCATCACTCTCATTAGCGACAATATTTTGGTAATGGTTTTCATCTACTTCTTAAGGCAAGATGACATCTTGGGTTTAAAAAGCTACATACGGTTTTGTAATTTTTCTCTTTTCACTTACCGATGTGTTAAGAGCATCACTTCAGTTCAATATATATGTTTCTCTCATTTTTAATGGTATAGAGTAGGAATGGGCAATTTATACAACCAACAGCCTATCGTCGAACATCCGACGACTTCCAAGCTTTCACTATTTTAAACAATAGCATCAAACACTGTCCTTAAATCTTTAGCACTCTCTCCGTCTTGAAGATGAATTCCAGGAGATGTAGAAGGTTGATTAGCCAATCCGTACGTTTCAAGGCTTGTGAAGCTTGGAGGTTTCAGGTGCCAATCACTTGCCCCTTCTTCCTTTCCAAGGGAGAACCCTCCAGGTTCTCGCTGAGAGAGAACAGACACAGGATGGCAGGCCCACATGGAGAGCAAGGGGCACCGTGTGCCGTGCCTCTCCGTAAGAGCTGATTGAAGGGAATAGTCGGGCCTCCTACTTCTCATCCCAAATCTTGACCTATGACCCTTGGAGAAAGTAGATCTGCAGAGCACATGCTAGCTCTCTCACCCAATTCCTGTGAGAATGCCCACAGGTTTCCTCCCACACACCCAGGAACTGGCAGAACAGGCTGCAAAAGATTATAGCAGGTCCTGGGCAGTCACAATCGTGTCTATAGATAGGAACAGAAAGCAAGAAAGAGCCCATCACCAGCAAGCAGCAAATAGAGTCGAACGATCACCCTTGAAATAACTCTAATAAAATACGACGCAGTAGGCTCTCTCTCATGAATCATTTAGCCACTCTTGCTTCCTTGGGGAGGACTGAGTAATACGTGGTGATAGAGGCTACACTTCTCACTGCACTTCTCACTGCACTTCCTCAAGAGAGAATGCCTGTTGGTAAAGGCAGGAGCCAGAGAGAGAATTTCTCCTTTCCCATCATGCTGATCCACATGTCCTTCTCCCAAGACATCTGACTGAACAACCAAAACCAAGGTCATCGGGGGCCAGTGCCGAGATTAGTGTGAAGCTAGTGAAGTACCCACTTCTGGCTCAAAATTTGAGAGGGTGCCAGAAAAGCTTAGTAAGATAAATAATAGTTTAATGCACTATTTAAAAAATTTAGGGGCGCCTGGGTGGCGCAGTCGGTTAAGCGTCCGACTTCAGCCAGGTCACGATCTCGCGGTCCGTGAGTTCGAGCCCCGCGTCAGGCTCTGGGCTGATGGCTCGGAGCCTGGAGCCTGTTTCCGATTCTGTGTCTCCCTCTCTCTCTGCCCCTCCCCCGTTCATGCTCTGTCTCTCTCTGTCCCAAAAATAAATAAACGTTGAAAAAAAAAATTAAAAAAAAATTTAAATTAATGCCCAATAATCCATGGTGAATAAAATATCAACATTTTCTTGATGTTTATTTTTGAGAGAGAGAGATAGAGACAGAGACAGAGAGTGAGCAGGGGAGGGGCAAGAGAGAGAGGGAGACACAGAATCTGAAGCAGGCTCCAGGCTCCGAGCTGTCAGCACAGAGCCCAACATGGGGCTCAAATCCATGCACCATGAGACCATGACCTGAGCCGAGGTCAGACACTCAACCGACTGAGCCACCCAGGTGTCCCTGAAATGTCAACATTTTAAATAAAGATAGGATCTGTCTTTGTATTTGCATAACCTACCTCCACTCATCTCACCACTGGCCTGGCCCCAGATCCAGTAAATTTTATTTACAAAAACAAGCACACGCGTGCACGCACACACACACACACACACACACACACACACACACCCGCTGCCCTTCAGCTCACAGGTCAAAGTTTGCCATTTGATTTTTTAAATATTGCATTCAAATGTTATTTATCTGAGTGTTTGGGCACACTTAAGTTTTGTGCCTGAGGCCAGTGCCTCACTGCGAGGGGTATGACTCTTTGAAGTTCCCATTTCTAGAAGGTTCCATATCTAACACTCCTTGTATTTCTTCCTGAGACCTGGGAAAAGGGTAAGCTAGCTGTAGCCAGAAGGCTCTAATGAATGTCCTATCATGACCTATTGAAAGTAACTCTAAAGCAATACTGTATCCGAGGCTCAAATTCACTCCTTTGTTCTCAAATTCCTTCAGCTCCATTGTCCAATACGGCTCATTGGAAGAGTTTGCACAGATTTATCTCTTTTTCACAACATCATAGGAATATTCTAAATAATACCACACTGGGGCTATAAAAATACCCCTTATTTGGACATGCATTCTTGCCAGTTAGCACATGTAAGTCTAAAATGTATTCAGTTCAGGGCACCTGGGTGGCTCAGTCAGTTAAGCGTCCAACTTTGGCTCAGGTCATGATCTCACAGTCCATGAGTTCAAGCCCCGTGTCGGGCTCTGTGCTGACAGCTCAGAGCCTGGAGTCTGCTTCAGATTCTGTGTCTCCCTCTCTCTCTGCCCCTCCCCTGCTCATGCTCTGTCTCTCTCTGTCTCAAAAATAAATAAAAACATTAAATAAATTAAAAAAAAATGTATTCAGTTCTTCTCCACTTGTAAACTAGAGTACAAAGTCCTTTCCTCCCTGATTTCATATTCTGTTCAGTCTAGGCCAAAGGATCTCATAGAGGTAGAATTCCCACGGATTCCTTTGGCAGCAGAAGTCCCCCGAACGTCCAGTTTCTCCTCCTCTCCAGTTGTCCCTTCAAGAGGCACAGAACAGGAGCCCAGAGGCAGTTCCAGAACACTGTCCTCAAGGACCCTCCTCCCAGACTCTCCCATCACCCCTCCTCTTAGACGTAGAGACGCTGAGGGGCGCAGCCCGGTCTGGGGCACCATGGGTCGTTGAGGCCGGGGACTGAGGAGGCAAGGTGGGAGACAAAGTCTGGGGAGAAGCCAGGCCAAGTGATAAGCTGCTTTAGTTTTGCCTTTCCGTACTTCTACAGTACTGCTGCTTTTCCATCCCCACCCCCCATGTCTCCGATAACCCACATGGGAGCCAGGAATAAGTTGTTCATGTGTGGTGTGCAGGGAACAAGGTGTAGCCCAGTTACACAAGACAGCCTGGGGTCCGGACACTTGGGCCAAGGCTGGTCACGTTCTCTTTGCCAACGACACCCACTGCCTCAGTGATGGAGAACACTCCTGCCTGTGCCGCCGTAGAAACAGAGAAGGTAGAAGAAAATCAAAAGTCAAAACGTCCTTTAGAAACAAGAACAGGAAAGGGACGCCTGGGTGGCTCAGTCGTTTAAACGTCTGACTTCGACTCAGGTCATGATCTCATGGTTCATGGGTTTGAGCTCTGCGACGGGCTCGCTGCCGTTGGTACAGAGCCTGCTTTGGATCCTCTGTCCCTCTCTCTCTCTGCCCCTCCTCTGCCTCACACATACTCTCTCTCTCAAAATAAATAAACATCAAAAAAAAAAAAAAGAATATTAAACTGAACACCATAAATGGAAATGTCTCCTTTAGGATGTGAAGAGGAACCAAGAGTTTCTTCCAAGCTACAGAAAGCTGAACGAGTCAGAGAGGAGCTGTGCTCTGTCAGGGCAGAAAATGGCAAGAAGGAAAGCCTGTAGGAAGTCCCTGCGGCTTGGGGACACAGCTGCACTGCTCTGGGAGGGGAGGGGAAGCACAGCTGGGGCATGGGAAGGGAAGACACTGGTAGACCTCACCCACACTTGGACTTCCTGTTCCTAAGCCACGGTGAGGGGCCCTCTCTGTCCCATGACCCCCAAGAGTGAAAATGGAACTCCCTCCAGCCCTGCGTGTCTCTTTTTCAGATTGACGCCTTGGCAGAAGTGGTGGCTGCTGTGAAAGGGGCAATGGAAGTGTATCTGGATGGTGGGATCCGAACTGGCAACGATGTGCTCAAGGCTCTGGCCCTTGGGGCTAAGTGTGTGTTTCTGGGGAGACCAATCCTGTGGGGTCTTGCCTACAAGGTGAGAGTGGCAAAGTGAGACCCAGCCAGAAGATACTGGGCTTCTTGTTTGTTTCCACACTTTTCCTGTGGTCTGCCCTCCAAGCTTAGCCGTTTCTCAAGGTGCCACAGATTTCTGAGGGCCAGTCCCCCCTTGCCCGGATCCCCACGCCTCCTCTGCCACAGGGTACACATTCTCAGGCGCTCTCACCCCATCTTTTCCTCTTTGCTGCCCCGTATTCCCAGCATAGTTCCAATTCCGCAGACATCCCTGTTCTGCAACCCCCCCCCCCTCCCAGCTGTGAGCACACCCAGACCTGATACTCAGCCCATGGTCAGAATGTTCTTTCACGCTTCTTTTTGTGTCCCCCCCTCCCCCGCCCTCATTCTTGGGAGCAGGGTGAAGATGGTATTAAGGAACTTTTGAACATTATAAAAAACGAGTTCCACACTTCCATGGCCCTCACAGGTAAGTTTTTTACAATTATTTTTGTTGTTGTTATTGTTGTTTATTTATTTATTTTCAATTTACACCCAAATTAGTTAGCATATAGGGCTACTATAATGATGTCAGGAGTAGATTCCAGTGATTCATCCCCTGTGTAAAACACCCAGTGCTCACCCCCACAAGTGTCCTCCCTAATGCCCCTTGCCCATTTACCCCATCCTCCCACCCACATCCCCTCCAACAACCCTCAGTTTGTTCTCTGTATTTAAGAGTCTCTGCTGCTTTGTCCCCCTCCCTGTTTTTACATTATTTTTGCTTCTCTTCCTTATGTTCATCTGTTTTGTATCTTAAATTTCACATATGAGTGAAGTCATATGATATTTGTCTTTCTCTGACTGACTTATTTCACTTAGCGTAATACCCTCTAGCTTCATCCACGTTGTTGCAAACAGCAATCATTCTTTTTGATTGCCGAGTAATGCTCCATTGTGTGTATATATATATATATATATATATACCACATCTTCTTTATCCGTTCATCCGTCAATGGACATTTGGGCTCTTTCCATACTTTGGCTATTGTTGATAGTGCTGCTATAAACATGGGGGTGCATGTGTCCCTTTGAAACAGCATACCCATATCCTTTGGATAAATACCTTGTAGTGCAATTTCTGGGTCCTAGGGTAGTTCTATTTTTAGCTTTTTGAGAAACCTCCATACTGGTTTCCAGAGTGGCTGCACCAGTTTGCATTCCCACCAGCAGTGCAAAAGAGATCCTCTTTCTCCGCATCCTCGCCAACATCTGTTGTTGCCTGAGTTGTTAATGTTAGCCATGCTGATAGGTGTGAGGTGGTATCTCATTATGGTTTTGATTTGTATTTCTCTGATGGTGAGTGATGTTGACTCTGTTTTTATGTGTCTGTTAGCCATCTGGATGTCTTCTTTGAAGAAGCGTCTATTTGTGTCTTTTGCCCATTTCTTCACCGGATTATTTGTTTTTTGGGTGTTGAGTTGATAAGTTCTTTATAGATTTTGGATACCAACCCTTTATCTGATATGCCATTTGCAAATATCTTCTCCCATTCTTTTGGTTGCCTTTTAGTTTTGCTGATGGTTTCCTTCTCTGTGCAGAAGCTTTTTATTTTCATGAGGTCCCAATAGTTCATTTTTGCTTTTTTCTTGCCTCTGGAAACATGTTGAGTAAGAAGTTGCTGCGGCCAAGGTCAAAGAGGTTTTTGCTTTCTTTCTCCTCTAGGATTTTGATGGCTTCCTGTCTTACGTTTTGGTCTTTCATTCATTGTGAGTTTATTTTTGTGTATGGTGTAAGAAAGTGGTCCAGGTTCATTTTTCCGCATGTCGCTGTCCGGTTTTCCCAGGACCACTTGCTGAAGAGACTGTCTTTATTCCATCAGATATTCTTTCCTACTTTGTCAAAGATCAGTTGGCCATAGGTTTGTGGGTCTATTTCTGAGTTCTCTAGTCTGTTTCGTGATCTAAGTGTCTGTTTTTGTGCCCACACTTTTACAATTCTTTTCCTGATTTGGAGCGGAAGGCATGAGGGCTATTGAACAGGCACCTTCTGGCTTAGCTTTCCCCGGCCCGGTGGCCACCCAAAAGAGAGAGAAAGGAAGAGATATTCCAAAGATGGAGCACAAACGCAGAACGTGATACCTTTGCTACAAAAGCAGATGCAATTTCAGGTTATGGGAAAGAGGGTCCCATTATACTCTGGCCTGTTCAGGTCACATCAGGCTTGTTGGGTGTGTTTCTGTGAATCATCTTTTAAGCAATATTCATGGACTGTGAGGAGTTGAGAAATTATGTCCAGGAGGAGGCATGGAGGAACTGGGGAGATAGATACAACAGGAGGAGAGAAGGGGGAGAGGGAGAAGTGTCATCCTGTGTGACCACAGCTGGACAAACGTGAACGTCTCGAAGCTACATGCGGGTGGATTTCACTCAAAAACGAAGTTATTGTAAAGCAGCGCTCATAGAAATGTACAAGTTTTTAGCAGAGCCTGGGATCCCAGTGACCTATAAAATAGTAGTTTTTAAACTAAGATGATGACTGCTGTCTTCAGAAAGATTTGGTTTGGAGTTTTTAGTTTCTTTCTTTCTAGTCGGCACAAGATGGCAAGGTGGGTATTGCAGGTAGTTAGTGCTGGGGGACTAGAGGTGCTAAATGTCCTAAAATGCCTGGAACAGTCTCACAGAAGAGAACCACCTACCCAGTGCCAACGGCCAATGGCTGTGTCTTTGATTGTCTTTGTCTGCTAAGGAAACAATTAATCAAGAGCTCTGATGTGAAATCAAGACCATTTTCTTTCATTAACTTGTTACCATAAATGTTACAGAGCGTCTGTTGTGTGCCAGGCACAAGGCAAGGCATCCAGGTTCTTCTCAAGTCTGGCTTTGGTCTGATATTTAGACAAGTGTCTTGCCCTCGAGCAAGACAAGTTGTGTTAGTAGTGCCCATTTGGGCTGCGGACTCAACCTTTTGGGCTTGAATGATACAAATTAGAAAACTTAGATCAGCATTAACGCCAGCACCAGCCTCCTTTCCGCTGAGCAGATTAATTCAAGAAAAAAAAATTCAGCTTTGAACTGGAACCATACTGTTCAAAGCCTATGAAGATAAGTCAGTAAATGACATGGGTCACCAAGATCCCTCCTCATGGGCATGAGCCCATGAGGCACGAGTGTGAATAGATATCATATTGGTGTGTTGTGCCCCTGGGACGGAAGGAGGTGAAAGATGGGAAGACCCATGAGCTTCTACAGATTCCGGGAGGTTGAAATGACTTCCACTGCTCCCCCAAATTTGTTTTTCCATCCTTGCCAATGATGTCTGATCTTCTTTTAACAGAAAGAAGCCTGTTGGGGGGGATTCACAATAACAAACCTCTTCTATTCTGCCCAAAGTTTACACTTCACAATCACTGGGCTAGAAATGGTGTCTGGAAAATCTTCTGAAATGGAGTGGAGAGCACGCTTTTTTAAAGGGGGCAAAGAAAGACACCAAACTGTGAGCACGTTTATGGCAGACAGTTTATACTCCCCTCCTAACTGTTCCACAATGAGAATGTATGGTTTTAAGTGTAGATACAGAAAAATTAGTAATCGCAACCAAATGTGGCACAGGGAAGAAGGAAGAAGAGAAAGAATAAGAAACTGAGGCAGAAGGGCTTCCATTGGCATCCTCTGCATAAGAGTCCCTCCCCCAGAGAAGACCCCCAGACTAGTCCCCGGGGTGAAGGGATCTTGAGCAGGGATTTTGGTAGAACTCACTAAAATGCAAAATCACAGCGTGAACCCCCTTAGATTCTGTCACCCCCTAGCCCTTCCGCACACAATGTGCGTTGAGACACCTGACACAAAACCAGCACTCAGGAGGGATCAGTTAATATGATTTCTCTCTCCCAATTCCCCTGGAGATGTGCGATATTTTCCCTTATGACCCTGTAACATACAGTCTCGGAAGGAGAACCCTATACTGATAGCAAAATAAGTTTAAGAGTCACGCTTTTTTGGGGTGCCTGGGTGGCTCAGTCAGCTAGGCGTCCAACTTCGGCTCAGGTCACGATCTCGCGTTTCGTGAGTTTGAGTCCCGCCTGGGGCTCTGTGCTGACAGCTCAGAGCCTGGAGCCTTTTTCAGATTCTGGGTCTCCCTCTCTCTCTCTGCCACTCTCCCCCTTACTCTCTCTCTCTCTCTCTCTCTCAAAAATAAATAACTATAAAAAATTTTTTTAGGTCATGTTTTTCTCACCGTGAGACCAATTGCTGAAATTATCTTACAGAAAGGTTAGAACCAGGACCGGTCTTGGAAAATGTCCACATATAAATCACACCAACACGAGGCTGCACAGACCTCACTAAGGCTTCGTCCTTCATAAGGGGACGAGGCTGAATTAAAAAGTCTATGAACCTTCTTGAGGTTTATTGTTTGTCATTACCCACTCCGGGTTAAAGTAGCCAGAAACATTTTAGTGTAAACAGCCTCCTAATTTGCAGTAATGAAAAAGCAGGAAAAAGTTATAAATATGCATTCTCTCCCCACCTTTCACGGAGTCTCTGCCAAGTGCAGGGCGGTGCCCTTGGTACTGCATGAGACCCAGAACCCAATCTGAGGAGAGTCGAGTAAGTACAGAAGCATTACCAAAGCTTGTGTGTCCAACTGTCCCAAAATGCAATCGCAGCATAACTCTGAGGCAACTATGGAGACATTTTTACATCGTTTGCATATGATTTTTATTACAATATGTACCGGCGATTCTGTTTTGGCATCTCTGTGCTCCTTGAGTAGGTCTGCCTGCTGTGGACACCCACTATCCTCTGCTCTGGGGAAACCCAAAGCTCTTAAGACCACTGTCCATCCTCAGGAGAGCCGCCTCTGGCACCGAGGTCCTGCTTCTGCTGTATGAGTTCAGTTTGTGGGCTATTTATGTATCCCATGCCTGACACTGCTGTCCACTACCATCAACCCAGGCGTGAAACCCAACTTTTTCCTATGTTTCCTTTTTTAGGGGGAAAAAAGCCTTTCATGGGTGATATTTTGGTGAGCGATACATTATGCTAAAGCTGTGTTTTGAGAGGTGAGGGTACACACATCGCCCATGTGGAAACAGCTTAAATTAATCATTACACAACCCGGCCTTCAAGTCCTTCTGCTTCATCATCACCAGAGATTTCCCTTCTACTCAAGGCCACGACTCCCCGGTCTGTACCAACATGCTACCCTCTCTTCCTCCCCGCTCCTCGTGCTTCTTGTCTGATGTCACTGTCTTCACTCACTCCCTGTGTCTAATCTCATCTACAGTTCTAATTTTGCATTTTAATGAAGCTCCTCCACTAAAGAAGTACGTTTCGTCTTGCAGAGCTTTCCCTTGGAAGGCAACTGCTGTGTGAAATATTCATCCCATCTCTTATTTCTGACTCATACTTTTCCCTGAAAGATACTTCCTATATCCATGAGCCTTATCAGCACTCAGATAAAGGTCAAGTGTATTTATGGCCCATATGAATTGATTCTTTAAATACTAAAATGGTGTTTACATATTTTTACTGTGCCATTTTGACATGGCTGTGTTGAAAGAGGACACGGGCACAAGCTCACAAAATAATTCTCAAGGCAATCAGAATAACATTACTCATCCGGTATCTTCATCTACCTTCTTTTTTTTATTTTTATTATTTTTTTTTTTTATTTTACAGAGGGAGAGAGAGCGTGAGCAGGGGAGAGAGCAAGAATCTTAAGCAGATTCCATGCTCAGCGTGGAGCCCCACGCGGGGCTCGATCCCACAACCCTGGGATCGCGATCTGAGTCGAAACCAAGAGTCGGATGCTCACCCGACTGAGCCACCCAGGTGCCCCACAGAGAAATAAGCTTTTTAACTGCTTTGTTCTTTCAGGTTGCCAGTCAGTTGCAGACATCAATCAGGACATGGTCCAGTTCTCCAGGCTGTAAAGGAAGAAGGCCAATGAGCAGACTGCTGAGGTTGCCCACAGAGAGAAGACAAACTCACAGCACGGTGTGCAATGCCTTCCTGCCTTGCCCCTATCCGACCCAGAGGCTCATCCCCTGCACCTTCAACCACTCCATCCCTTGTACTTCAGGCCCCAGACCCTCCTCTTCCTCAAAGGTGACACGCTCTCCTTTACCTCACTGTTTGTTATATGCTCTTGCCGGAACTCCTCCTCTGAAAGAAAAAAAAACCCTTAAAAACATGGGCCAATAATGACTGAAATGGCTAGCAGATTTCTTTTTTTTTTTGAGTATCCTATATAACTCCGTGAACCAACTATGTAAATTGACACTCTGTACAGAAGAGCTATATGTATAAACCGTTCTCCCACAAAAATCCTCCTCCTGCGTGTAGATAATAGGGAAACCATATAGGTAAAAACCTAGGCTTTGGAGCCACACAGGCCTGGATTTAACGGTCAGGACTGGTACTGACCAGCTCTGCAATGGGAAAGTTTTTTCAATCTCTCTACCTAGCCGGCGAGGTCGAGAGAAAGAAATGAGATAATGTGTGTCAACCTTACAGCGCAATGCTTAGCACCCAGTAGAAGTTTAGGAAATGGTAGCTTTTATTGTTTGGCAAATTTCTATTCATCTTTCAAGACCTTGCACAAATGTCACCTATCCTTACTATGGGCTACTTTCTAGGTATTTCTTCCTATTGTACTTCGCACATTCCGCTATTATAACACCTATTATAATACGATATGTTTGTGTATTTATTTAGTTAGTTGCATGTCTTTTTCCACAAGTAGATTGTACATGGCTCCAGGCAAGAAGCTGTACACTTGATACTGGGTTTGGCATTTGGCAGAATCTTGATGAATACCTGTAAGATAGATGGATGGATGGATGGATGGATGGATGGATATGTGGGTAGACAGATGGATGGGTGGACAGACTAAAGATAAATGGATGAAAGGAGAGATGAAAAAAATGAATAGATACCCTCGCAGGGTAACTCCCCACACCAGTAGTCAGCTAAAATAGCCTCCTAAAGCAGGGGCACCTCACTAAGATCTGACATTGTAGACTTCAAGAAAGTTAGGGATGGAAATCAACATTGTAAATAAATAGCCCCCAGACTCATTTCTCTGTGGTCTCACTTGCTCCTTTTTTACATTCTGTTCTCTATCCAACAACCAAAGAGATTGTTTTTCAAGTACAAGCAAATCTTCTGTCTCGCTTGTTCAAAGCCTTTCTGTGGCTTCCCATTTCATTTAGTGGAAATGCAAACTGATCCCCAGCTCTCCCCTGGGCACTGCATGTCCGGTTCTTGCAGACCCTTCCAGCACTCTACCCTTTGCTCACCATGCCCCAGCCATACTGTCTCCCTCTTAATCCTTAAACAAGCAAAACTCTTCCCTGCCTCTGGACTTTCACACTTACTCTTCCCTCTGCATAAAATATCCTTCCCCATCCTCTTCCCATGGCTGTATCTTTCTTGACATTTAGATCTCAGCTTAAATATCACCCCTCTCCCGTGAGGTGAGACTTCCATGACTATCCTATCTAGAGCAAGCTCCATTTGACCCATGCCACCCTGGCTTCCCCTTCTCAGCACTCACTGCAATCTGCCATTAACTTATTCTTTGTTTGTGTGTTTACTGTTCATCTGTAGCAGCACAGGGACTTGGATCCATCTTGCTCACCACGACATTCCCAGAGCCCCAACCATGCCCAAGGCCATAGCAGGCTTTGAGGACATATTTTTTTTAAAATAATTCATTCAGAAAGGAGAAGCTGGATCAAACTGCATTGTCACATCTGGAGAACGATGGCACTCCCCAAGGAAGACAGTGTGTTAGGACAGAACCAAGCTGCATGGGTCACTACCTAATCCGGAAGACACGGAAAGCTTCCCTCCATTTCTGGGCTGGACACATTTCTGCAAGAACTCATGCCATAGTACAGCCCCACTTTTGCCCAACTTCTCCCACGTACCCAAGGGCCCAGTCAAGGGAGCATTAGATGGCAGGGAACACACTGAAAGAGAGAGTGGTCCCATAGCAACCTCCCGATCATAACTCCTAATGCTGTAGCTGTTGCTTAACCCAGATATATGAGACACGTGCCACCTACATATTTAGAAAGGAAATAAACTATGTGTTAATAGACAGTCCTGCCCTGGCCTGTATTCAGAACCCAGAGTCAAGGGACATGAACACCCAGACTCCCATATCACCAACCCCTTTGATTCTTCTCAGAATAAAAGATCTTAAAAGCAGATCAATATAATATGCTAGGTATTCAAAATAATCTGCTAGTTATTTCAGTTATTGAAATTACTAGCAGATGTTTTGCACACTGTCTATATCTCTATGAGATAACTATGAAATTTTGCACTCTCGACAGAAGAGCTATCCCTAGAAAAGATTCCCTCAACAAAAATCGTACTGTCTGTCAAACAGGGCAAGACAGGCCAACCAGATGAAAGAAGGAAAGTAAAGCAAGTGTGGGGTGCCTGAGTGGCTCAGTCAATTAAGCTTCTGACTTCGGCTCAGGTCATGATCTCGTGGTTCGTGGGTTCGAGCCCAACATCGGGACCACTGCTGCCAGCGCAGAAACCGCTTTGGATCCTCTGTCTCCCTCTCTCTCTGTCCCTCTCCCACATGCACTATCTCTCTCTCTCAAAAATAAATAAAAACTTAAAAAAAAAAAAAGAAACTAAAGCAAATGTAGTTAGAATACTTAGAAGAATACTAGGTACGCTACAGAATTGTGGTCTTTGAAAAGAGGCTTGAGCGGCTGATTTGAATGTCATTAATGGAAAGAAAAAGGGTAATTGACCATGATCCTTGTGTTAGACCCTAACTTTTTATTCAGTTAAAATTTTGAACTGGCCCCTGCACTGGCGTGCTGATGGTCAGTTTGAGGCCAAAGAGCAGTCCTAATTTGCAGCAAGGATGGGGTGCTTGTGCTGAAAGTTTAGGGACACGCTAAGGAAGTGGCACGTCTGGGGGCAACCGCCTGGCAGTCGCAGTTTCACTATGGGACAAGAAGCCAAGATTACCCTCAACGCACGGATCAGAGTAGCACCGTGTGCCTTGGAAAAGATGGAAGTTTCACAATATCAAACAGGGATATAGGTCAGGGGTGATCCTGGTGTGGCCCAACTCATTTACTGCTACCAGCGGTCTCGGGAAACTCTTTTACTTTAGTTCACAGAGCCAAGGCCAGAGACATGAGAGAACAGAGGAGCAAAAAAAGCCTAAAATATTTGTGTTCATGACCTACGATACTACAGGATCTTCCAACCCATAAAATAATGTCTTTCTGGGCAGTGCACTGACCTCCAGGAGAAGCAGCATAAGGAGAGTTTTGACACAAGAGATTGGAGGACTCTGGAAACAAATTTTAAAAGACCATAGAAGTCCTTTGCCAGTAAACGAGAGAGATCTTTACTTCAGTCATATTATATAATCCTACTGGACAGATGTAGGCTTTTTCAATAAAGTACCAAAGAGCTAAACCACCTGAAGAGATTAAAGTCTGAGAAAGATTCTATTACTCAACGGTTCCCAAGAACATGGACTCTATCTATAGTGGGCAGGCTGTAGGCAGACTCAGGAGAGAAGTGTATAACCCATGTTATACATGGTTATAACCCACTTCATGTAGCATGTGATCTCACCCAGATAGATTTTGCTCCTCTCTGGCCTATTCCTCAGCCCTCACACCCCTGTCACGCATTAGGACTCAGCATCAGATACAGTGGCACTTGGTGCTGATGACCAGATCATCTCTTTAACCCTGAAATCACCTGCTGGGGGCTTGGCTGTGTCATCCCAGATTGGTTTGGGAGAAGAGCGAAACAAATCACAATGGCATATGGCACTCAGGCAATTTGGTCTGCAGAAAATGGAGGTAGCTTCCTTTTCAAGAGAATCTAGTACAAGTTCTCCCTGTATATCCTTCTTGGTGATAACTGCACAGACACGTGTGTGCTATTTTTTAGGTTGTTTTTCCTTCTGGATTCAGAGAGCTAGATCCAAGATTCCATGGGCAATGAGCAAGATAGTAGAAAGACAGTACCAAAAGGCTGTTCTCATTGCCTCAGAAGCGTGGACAGAGGAATGTCTGTAGTCATCTGAAGAGATGCATATTCAGTCTCACAAGGGACTCCTTGACTCCCAAAAATGTTCTACATCAAAACGGATGGGTAAGGAAGGCAAATAAACCTTCTCCAATGGAAAGCTTTGAACAATTGAACAGAATACTGGGTATCTAAGAGATAAGCACTGTGTCCTGATAAAGAGAATCAGTTTCAGGGTCATCCCAGGGCCAGGCTGCTTGGACTCAGACTCTGGCTCCACTGTCCTCAAGATGTTTGGTAAGACTCAAAATGTCTTTGTCTTTACTTATTAAATAATACTAATCTTCTTGGATTCTCACTGTGAAAATAAATGATATGGGGGGTTCTGATTCTCAGTCCAGGGTGTAAGGAGCTTGGAAGTCACCACTCCATTTTAGCCAAGTAAAAAGCTGAACAAACTGAAAAATCAACAATTCCCCTAGATAACTTAGAAGAGTGAGGTCATAGGGAAAACCACTGTCCCCAAAGTGGAGACACAGGCAAATACAGAGAAGCACAACTTATTTGAGCAGAAACCTCCATGAAAATCAGTACTGGGGGCGGAAAACCTGAACTGTAATTGATGAAATGCTGGAGGCTCTGTGGGCAATTCCAAGAGTTAAAAAAGGTCCCTTCCCTCATACTTTTGTTCTACCTGTAGGAACGCCACCAGATTCTCACAGTAACATCCGAGAAAAATCCCCTCGGGCTTCTAGCAGGTGGAGGGAAAAAGCAACCATTTTGCAATATGCCAGAACATTATGTTCTCAACAAGCCTACCCTCACGAGAAACCATTTTCCCACATCCTAACCTACCAGGGTTTATCAGAACTTATCTAACCTGGAAGGTGCGAAATACCCAACTCTA